AATTATTATAAATTTTCGACTATCGATATATTAAATTTACTTAATTGGTATTAAGTAGCTTAACAGAATAAATCATAAATGGTAAAGTTAAATACTTTATGACGTTTTATAATGAGAGAGAGATTTATAATATATATATATATATTTTTTTCTTTTATGAATTTATAATGATTTGACGTTTTAACAGAACTTTTCTACTAAAATGGTAGATTCCATTTTCACTTGTATCTCGACTAATTCTACAGTTTGTCTCGCATCAACTGACATTCCCTGTCAAAATCAATTTACAACTGACCACACAAGTACTGTTAACTGTCTAGTTTGCAAGCGATGTATAATGGAAATAGTCGTTTCCTTCAGTAATTTCAAATTGCTTAATGGAAATAAATCATTTTTGATTATTATTATTATTATTATTATTATTCGGTTTTATATGTTACAAATAAATTTTTCTTAATACAAAAATCGTTAATTACAGCAGTGTTTTTTTAGAAGTAATTTATTGGTCGTGGGTGGGAGTTTAGGAATTTTTATTTATTTGTTGAATGTGATGATGTTTCGTTCGTGAGAGTCTATTTATACTTTGTCATCACGCAAAACATGATTTTTTTCAAGTACAGAAATGACTTTTTACGTGAAAAGCCATTATTTACACGAAAAACATTTTTCGAAAGTGAAAAATTGCAATTTTTTTTTTATGTAAAAGAAAAAAAAAATTGACAACTTTACATTTACTGAACGGATGTGCAAACTATTTAATCTTCTACTGTTTAGAAAATTGATGTGTTGAACCAAAAAATTTTCTCGTCTCCTCCGAAAAGAAAGGTTAAAAAAAAATGTAAAAAGGTCTTATTGGAAAAGAGGGGGTAAATATAGATCGAACGTAGTAATTTAAACAATTCCTTCTCTCTTTGTTACTTAATTTGATGTAGTTTTGTATCTACATCTTCCTGAATGATTTTGTGTCAAGGAACGAGTTCCGGCTCACGTCAGAAATCCTCTTGCCAGTAAGAATGAGAGGACGTTTATGTTTTTCTGAATACGATATATTCAACAGTAGAAGTGAATTATACGGAGAAGCACGATTCATTAATAAATGGCAGTGATGCTGTCCCAGATCTCTGACGTCATGAAAAATACATGGATTCTGCGTGCAGGTACGTTAGTGGGCGGAGAATATGTATATGGAAGTTTTGGAGAGGACTGGGGATGTGCTTCTACCCCCCCTCTTCTGCCATCATTACTCATGTCAAATTGCTAGTTAACGCGATCGTAAACGCAGCAAAACGCTTTTCCTTTGGCTCCGATGTTTCTTGTTTTTCTACCATTTCGTGTTTGATCCTTGGACCATTTGAGAGAGGCTAAAGTCATTTACCTGAAAGGTTATAAGATAGCTAAAAATCCCTTGCATGTTTCGCTGATTACCGTTTTGTATTACAATATATGGTTGTTAAGAATCAATGGCTATCATATTTATTTATCTTCTTCTTTGGTTTTCTCTATTATAATCGTTTTCAATTTTTGTCTAGATAAGAAAAAACTCAATCATTAAACTGTGTAAAAATTTATCATGTGTAAATTCTCACTATTTCTATTCTTCAATGAACACGGAGATTTTTCTTCGTGCTCAAATATACATAATTATCGTACTGATAACAACGTTATTTTATATTTAATCTTTATTGCGAGCATTAAAAAAAAGTGAAGATAATGCAAAACATAAGCGAATGATTTTATTATGTGTAAGAGAAGGGTGTGTGTATTATTATTTTTTTTATTATTATCCAATAATTACATAAGTCTGAAGTGATGATTAGTGAATCTATTTTACTATTGTGCAAAGTTTTAATAAGCTTTTAATATCCCATCTCTCGTTTTTTTTCTCATATAATGTAATATAGGAAAACGATACCTTTTTAAATAACCCTTTTTTCCAGTTCTGGGTATCATTTTAAAAGTCGTGCAGCCTTTTTTTTCTTCTTCTTCTTTTTCTTCTTAGTGTTGCAAGTGCTACACAACGATCGATTGATGTCTTCTGCTTGTCGTTCATCTTTATAAACGTCTGCCAAGTTGCTTTTACAAGCACTAAAATGTCTTTTATGTAAATTATCATCTAGACGTTTAATTATTATTAAGAAACCTATAGATGATCTACGAAAGTTATAAGATAAATTTCTTTATACATTTACGAAGATTCATACGTATAACGATATTAGTTTATTTAATAGAAATATTATTTTAAAAATTAATTAATTAAAATTTAATCGTGTTTTTTTATCTCTTTAAAATTAATTTTAATAAATGCAAAGATTTGTATAAATAAGAAATAAAATCTACCATATTTATGTACTTTAAATACATTAGAAAATACATTTAAGAAATTAAATAAATTAATTTTATTTATAGAATTTCATTAAAATAAAAATATAAATTTATAAAATGAATAAGATATGATCATTAACAGATCTAAATTTTAAAACTTCAATAAAAAATAATATTAAAATAATTTAAATAGAGAGAGAGTACCATTAATAATTACTTTATTCAACAGATTCTTTTAACTTCTTGTGTGGTTTTTTTTATTAAATAAATTATAATAATTCTATAAAATATTTTAAATCGAAATAAAATGACATTAAAAGCATATTTTTATTTATTTTTTAACTTTATCTTTAAATGCCAGCGTGTTACTTAAACGAATACATAAACACACGAAGGAAGGTTTTAAAATCTTATTAGAGTAGCATAAATGATTTCTTCTCCGTCGATAGTTATATATAAATTATTATCGTGAATTTTCTGATATTTCACGTACGTAGAAAATGGATATTTTAACCTTGAGATGCAATTATTGGTTTGATTTATTCATGGATTACAGTAAGATATAGCCATTTTCAACGTGTAATATTTTAAAAAGTTTCCATTAATCTTTTAAAAAAAAACTTTAATTTAAAGAAAGGATATAATAAAAATATATATATATATATATTTTTGTACTCTTGTTTGCAA